GCACTCTCACATTCACCCAGTCCCTTCACAGCACACCAACACCTTCCATCCCCTGTTGTCCAAATCCCTTCTCCACTTCCCTTATTCCCCACCCTGGGTGTTCATGTCCTTCATTCCCTCTGGGAAAATGTGCAAACTACCTCAACATTCTCCCAAGGAACCCTTCAGAGATATTTTGGGATCATCATCCCTTTGGCCAGGACCCCTTCCTGGCTTTCCCTTTTCTACCTTCCATGGGTGCCCTGCCATGTTCACTCCCCGAAGATCCCAGTGCACTCACGGATGAGATTTTCAGTGCTCTCTCCCTGCTGACTCTTCACAGCCCCCCTGATGTGTCACTCGTCTGTCTCCTGGTCACTCTCGGGTCCCCAATCAATCCCCGGTGCCGCCGCCACCCAAGGGAGCCGATCACCCAAACTGGGTGAGGCACCTTCAGCTGCACTCACTGCCCGCCACCCCGGACAGTGAGTGGGAGGAATTTCGTGTGTGTCCCAAGGTGTGTGGGAAAATTGACATCACCAGAGGATTCTGTCCACAAAGAAGACAGAGAAGTCCTGTAAAAGTAGTTTCTTTCCGAACAATAGGGACAGGCCATGAGACATTTCCCATGGGGTCTCTGTAATTGTTGGAGAACACAGCGTCTTGTTCATCCTAATTTTCCCAGCCACATCTCCCTCTCCCTTTCTCCTTTGGCTGAAGCACTTGAGAGATACAGACATTGTAATTCACCTACGACATACCCCATTAATATGCTCCCTACTTTTCTATAGCAAAGGATATTCATGGCTCTGTGAAGTCTTTGTTCTTCTGGAAGTTCATGAATTTAGCAGGATCTTGGCTGATCAACAATCTCTGCCATCAATTAATAACATTTCTCTTGTTCCTTTCATGGGGGTCTCCCATTTTTGGGACATCCCCCCTGGAGCAGGGTGTCCCCCCTTGCTGCAGCCCCACCCTCAGGCAGCGCTCAGCCAATCAGAGAGCACGGTGCTGATGACTCAGCAGTGTCCAGGCAGACTTCCAGCGTTCCCCACCTGGACCCCCCCTCGGCCCCAGCGCCCCCCGGGAGGGGAATTTGGGGAGGTGGGAGTGGGGCAGCGCCAAGGCCGGGCCCCCCCGCGCTGTCCTGCGGGAGCGGCTGCAGGTGGGGACCGAGTGCGGGCGGGAGCGGCCGAGAGCCCAGCGCTGCCCCAGCCCGACGAGATCCAGGCAGAGCTCAGAGCTGGTGGAGAAGCCTCATGGCAGGGAGAAGTCGCACAAGTGCTTGGAATGTGGGAAGGTCTTCAGCCAGAGCTGCAACCTGATCATGCACCAAAGGATCCACACTGGGGAACGGCCCTACAAGTGTGGGGAGTGTGGGAAGAGCTTCAGACAGAGCTCCAACCTGATTCAGCACCAGGTGATCCACACTGGGAAACGGCCCTACGACTGTGGGGAATGTGGGAAGAGCTTCAGAGACAGCTCTGACCTGATCCGGCACCAGATGGTCCACACTGGGGAAAAGCCCTATGAATGTGGGGAATGTGGGAAGAGCTTCAACCAAAGATCCCACCTGATCCAGCATCAGAGGATCCACAGTGGGGAACGGCCCTACACCTGCTTGGAATGTGGGAAGAGCTATGGGTGGAGCTCAGACCTTAGAAAACACCAGCGCATTCACACTGGGGAGAAACCCTACGAGTGTCCCCAGTGTGGGAAGAGGTTTCAAATCAGCTCCACTCTCCTCAGACATGAGCGGATTCACACAGAGGAGAGGCCCTTCCGCTGCCCCGACTGCGGGAAGGGCTTCAACCGCGAATTCGCTCTTGTCTGCCACCAGCGCATCCACTCCAGGGAGAGGCCTTGAGAGTGTCCCGAGTGTGGGAAGAGCTTTTCCACGAGCTCAGCCTTGACCAGACACCAACGGAGGCACCACTAAGGGAAGCCCTGGGAGTGCCCCGAGTGCGGGAAGAGCTTCGTGCGCTGCTCCAGCTCCATCCCCCATGGGAGGATCCACATTGGATGATCCCCAGTGACCCCCGCTGGGCAGAGCCCTGGTGATGCGTGGTCCTGATGATCCGTGTTGGAAGATACCTGGCTGGGGGGCTCCACATCTTCCTGGCTCCCTCTGGGCACTTGGATATATGCAGGGGCAGGAACATCCATCAGGAGGCAGGCCAATAATGCGATTTCCTTTGGGAGAGCAGATTTGTTGACTTTGAACCCCACAGCACACGTTTCACAGTCATGGATAACTTGAGAAATATTGTTCATGGTTAAATCTACTCCTCGGTCTCGTGCTCACTTATACGTGGCATCTCTACTCTGATGACTTGAGGCATCATGGGCCCATCGAGCTAGGAATAACTCCCTCTTGTGCTCTCAATTTAGGTCTATCTTGGACACCCTTATTTTTGAAGCTTGGTCTACTTGCTCATTGTTTTTGTGTTCCTTATTAGCTCTATTCTTGGGGACATGGGCATTTACATGGCGGACTTTCACAGGTAGCCTCTCTACCCTGGCAGTTATGTCTTTCTACTCTTCAGCAGCCCAAATTGGTTTTCTTCTACGCTGCTAATTAGCCTCTTTCTACTTCTCCAGCCACCTCTACAGAGCATTGGCTACTATCTATATGGGTTAAATGTTGGTGCTTTGGTTTTGTATGGGCACTCAGTCTTTGTATTTTGGATGGGGTTCTTGCTGCATCTTGATGTTTGGGAAGATTGTGGTCTGTGTCTTGATGTTTAAGCATTTTTGTGCTGAATGTCAGTGTTTTGGAGGTTCTTACAGACACAAGATGCCCAATGACTTCCTGAGGTGAACTTGGGCATAGAGGAATCACCAGCCTAAGGTGCTCTCATCTTCTTTTTTCTCCCCAAACCAGGATTTTTCATTCCTGTGGTGTGTCTGGATGGAGGAGGAGGAAAAGCCCTGGAGATTCCGTACAAGGAGGGGCTGCAAACCCAGCCCAGGGAGCTGCGGGGAGCAAAGAGCCCCCCTGAGCCAGGAAGGCGGCCGGAGATCCAGGCAGCGCTTGGAGCTGGTGGAGAAGCCTCATGGCAGGGAGAAGCCCCACAAGTGCTTGGAATGTGGGAAGGGCTTCAGTCGTAGCGTTCACCTGATCCAACACCAGGTGATCCACACTGGGGAACGGCCCTACGAGTGTGGGAAATGTGGGAAGCGTTTCAGCTGGAGCTCCAGCCTGAGGCAGCACCAGGTGATCCACACTAGGGAACGGCCCTATGAGTGTGGGGAATGTGGGAAGACCTTCAGCCTCAACTGCATCCTGATCCAACACCAGAGGATCCACACTGGGGAAAAGCCCTTTGAGTGTGGGGAATGTGGGAAGAGCTTCAGGCAGAGGGGCCACCTGATGCAACACCAGATGATCCACACCGGGGACCGGCCTTATGAGTGTGGGGAATGTGGGATGAGCTTCAGCCAGAAGGGGAGCCTGATGCAACACCAGAGGATCCACACGGGGGAAAAGCCCTATGAGTGTGGGGAATGTGGGAAGAGCTTCAGGTGCAGCTCTGGCCTGACAAAACACCACAAATTCCACACTGGGGAAAAGCCCCATGAGTGTGGGGTGTGTGGGAAAAGGTTCAGCATGAAGTGCCAGCTGATGGTACACCAGAAGATCCACTCTGGGGAAAAGGCCCTCAGCCCTCCTTGTGCCCATCCCTGGGGCCTCCCTTCCCTCGGGGTCCAACCCAGTGACCCCAGTCCGTCCCACTCCATTCCCAATCCATTCCCAGGCTCTTCCAGTCCATCCCATTGTCTCCCAGTCCATTCCCAGTCCATCCCAGTCTCTCCCACCCCATTCCCAGTCCATCCCAGTCTCTCCCAAGCCCCCCGGCGTGTCCATCTCAGCCTAGCGTGCTGCTGATGCCTCTCAGCCAATCAGAGCGCGTGTCTCTGATGACTCATCGGTTGCCAGGCAGACCCGCAGCCGAGTGTCCCGGGCACTTCACTCCCAGTGCCGCGCGCGTCATTCCCAGTTCCTCCCAGTTCCTCCCCTCTCATCCCCAGTACACTCCCAGTCCATTCCCAGCTCACCCCCAGACCTCCATCCTCTCTCCCAGTGCCCCCCATCCCCTGCCATCTCTCTCAGTACCATCCCAGTCCCTCCCAGACCATTCCCAGTCCCTCTCAATGACACTCCATCCCTCTCCTCCCTCTCCCAGTTCCCCCCAGCTGATCCCAGTGTGTCCCCGCTCTCTCCCAGTGCCCATCCCACCGTGTCCATCTCGCTGGTGCCCTCGAGCTCCCAGCCCGGCCCCGGCTGCCTGCTCTGCTCCGTGATGGATTTCTACCCTGCCCACATCCAGCTGAGGTGGTTCCAGGGCCAGCAGGAGCTCTCTGTGGTGGCCACCGATGTGGTTCCCAGTGGGGACTGGACCCACCAGCTCCTGGTGCTGCTGGAAACTGCCCCCAGTGCCGGGTCACCTGCAGCTGCCAGGTGGAGCACGTCAGCCTGGAGCATCCCCTGAGCCAGCACTGGGGTACAGGGGAGGCACTGGGGATGCTGGGAGAGGCACTGGGATGTGCTGGGAGCAACTGGGAGGCAGTTGGAGAGAGCCTGGTTTCAACTGGGAG